TGTTTTAGTTAAGAGCGTGCGGTTTGGCTCAAAAACCCAATTTTTAGCAAAAATTCCTCCAGAAAATCATTTCGTTTATTTTAATCAAACATATTACAAAATTCNATTTTTCTGAATGACACCAAATCGTGAAGCTTCATGATAGAGTCTTGAAAATTTCTTCATATATACAACATTGAGCGCTCTATCCAATGGTGGTATCAGGAATTTTGTAATATGTTTGATTAAAATAAACGAAATGATTTTCTGGAGGAATTTTTGCTAAAAATTGGGTTTTTGAGCCAAACCGCACGCTCTTAACTAAAACAAAATGTAGATTGTTACACAATTCGACGAGCTCTACAAAACTAGCATACTAAGAAATTGCCGGTTGAATGTACTGTAAAAAGTGGAAGACCTTGCGTGGAAGCACCCTTGGTATAGATGGAATTTTTTTAAAATAGAAATGCACTAGAAGTTTAGTTATGAGTTATTAGCTCACTTCAAAAATAAGAAGTTTCTCCTGGTATCAAAATAAAAGTAAAGTTGGATTCATGTCTTTTTATTCACATATTTGAAGAAAGCAGAAGAGAAATCAGTTTATTTAACACATAAATGAGTTCTATAAAATACTACTCTTTACTAATCATAATTTAATAGAAGCAGTTTTTATTCAACAAGGTAATGGATTGCATAGTTACATAAAACAACAAGATGTTTCGATAGTTTCTATTATAAATAAATCATAGAAGTTGTACAAGAAGCCTATGCTCTTATTGCAACAAGAGAAACATTTCTTTATTCGAATTCTGAAATGAAAAAAATTTCCAATAACTAAATACTTTTCTCCAAGACGCATTGGCGCACATCGGTGTGTTCTGTATATCTGCGGTTTTGTTTTGAACTCTTAGCGTCTGTTTTGAGAAATATTTTACGAAGGATGTATCCCAATTGTCTCTTCATTCCGAAAAAATTTTTTGTTACGAAACCTAAAAAGGTTCTTCGCGCACTAAAAAAGACTTCGAGTTTGTATCCGAGTTAACAACTTTTTTAGTGCGTTTGCTTATGAGTTAGTATTTTGCCCACAACTGAACTTCAGTGAGACTAAGATAGTCTTAACACTTTGCGTGTCCATGACCCTATTGGTCTAAAATTAAAACCGGTTTAGGGCTAGGTATATACAGCAAAGTCAGGTAAACATATTTCTATCTGAAATTTTGCTTATCAGTAGATCTCTTGATTTAAACTATGCACCAACATTTCTAGACAAAAAAATGCTTTTTTCCTTTTGATTGACAGGTCATAGCCATCAATCATATTAAGACTGTATTAGTCTCATGAAGCTCTATTTATAGACGACATATCAACTAAAAAACGAGGAAATAATTGTGGTATCTCCTTCATCAAAATTTTCTATTCTACCATCCGAATAGAATTAAATTCAAAACTTTTTGAAGGAAGGAAAGAAATGATTAAAATTTCATTTGCGTAAAAATCATTTAAAAGAAGTGGTTTTCTTATAATTCAAAAGCATCATTATTTTTTAAATATACCACCTCTTTTCTATGACTATTACATTAATCAAGAATGCTTTTATTATTAAAAATGCTTTGCTTCTTTTTGTATTTGTAACTCATTTGAAGTATATCAGATTTAATCATAAAATGTAACTTTTATTTTCTTCTCCTTATTTATTGTAAATAAAAACAAGTGAAATCTGCATACTGTTATCATACAATTATAGAGAAGTAAAAACTAAAATAATAGAAAAACAAACATACGCATGAAACGAAATATAAGTTAAGTATTTAGAGATGAAAAATAGATCACCGTCAAAAATTGTATACAATAAAAAATAAAAGTTTCTTTAAGAGGCTCGTCGAAATGTTTTCAATATTGGATAAATACGTTCAAATGCTTCATGAATTTCACGACGTTCTTTTGCACCTAAACAAAAAAATTAATCATTTTATTCAAAAGAAAAACATAAGTATTTCTAGTTTGTTTACCTGTAAGTACAACTTTACCAGAATTAAAAATAAGTAAAACAATTTTTGGTTGAATGACTCGATAAATTAAACCGGGAAACAATTCAGGTTCATAACTTATATGAAATAAAAAGAAAACATTTCGAAACATTCATTTAAATATATAATTTCTAACCTGCAATATGTAGCATGTTTTAATGCAAGTGCTTCAAGTCGTATTTTAAAATTAACATCAGCACTACCAACCATATTTTGAATTTTAAAATCGAGAAATTTAGCCTAAAAACAAGACATATTTTTGTTTTTTTTTGAATTAAAAAAAATAATAAATTTTTAGATTTGAATTTTACTGAAAAGCCAAGTTTTTGAATAACACGAGCATAACGACGTGCTGCTTGAACAGAATCTTCTTCACTTTTAGCACCGGTACAAACCATTTTTCCTGAAGTAAATATTAAAGCTGTTGTTCGTGGACTGCGAATACGCATAATAACAGCAGCAAAACGTTTTGGATTATATTCTGCATTACGAGCTTGAAGTGCAATACGTTTTAAATCTAATTTACAACCAAGACTTACAGTTGATACTATATTTCTATGAAATAAAATAATATTTATAAAATAGAAAAAAGAAGTTTTTTCATACTGTAAACTTGGTTGAACACGTGATGTGTCAGCTGTTCGCGGTGTAAATGGTGTTGCTGCTGCAGAAAAAGGTGTTGATGGTGCTACTGAACTAAGATGATAGGAAGTAACAGTTGATGGCGGACCCATGTCTGGTATGCTTTTTTTTGAAGCAACTGATGGACGATGATGAAGTCTAATATCATTTGATGCACTTGCATGAGTTTCATCTCTGGGAGCAACACTTCGAGGTGTTGCGGATGGAGGTAAAGACATAGGAGATGCATATTGATCATTCTGAATATTAGATATAGAATATCAATGAAAAAGAAACTAACAAACCTGATGGGAATGTGGATCACTGAAACTAGGTGAATAATCCATATTAGGCACTAAAATCCTTAGTACAAGCAGCAATTAATATTATCTGATATCGTATGCAAAGTTTTCAAGTATATGCACAATAGTCAAGGAAAAGATTTACACCTGAGAATAACAACGCTAATGATTAGTCAGCGTTCCAGAAGAATCCATAAAATACATTGGTGCGACAAATAGATGCCGCTAGAAATAGATAGATTAATTTATCATGTGATTTGTGTTATATACGCATTAGTCAACTCTCCTTTTTCTTTCAAAGCCTATTTCATTCTTTCTCTTTTCATTCTATTAGTAATCTATGATATAATAAAAAATCATAGAGCAGTTGTTGAAGCTTTATTATAGTAAATGTAATGAAGGACAAGTAATATTCTTTATTGTGATAGATAAAAATAATGTATAAAAATGTAAAGTAAAATTTAGTTTTTAAAATACAGTAAAACTTTCGCATTGTGAATGCCATTAAGATTATTGAAAAGCATTCCTTCAATTTAGAAACTTGACGTACAATGGTTTCTGTAAAATGAAGAAACTTTTCGAGAATATTTGTTTTTTTAATGCCTTAATGTCATTTGTCTTTCTGTCTTTGATTCTAACTCATCCGATAGTTGAATTTTTTCTTCCAAACTAAGTTCGCGTCGTGTTGTCTTTTATTGCTTTACATGTAGAGCAGTCGAATCATCCGTAAAATGTACATTCTCGTAGTTCATAAGAAACACATGATAGATAGTAGAAAAAAGTCAAAAAGAAAACACTAAACGGTATAATAGAAAGAGTCATCGCAAAAAGTATTCATTGTTCAAAATAACGACGTATTCATATTCTAAAATAGTATTTTCTGCAAAAGCCGCTATATTGCACTTGAAATTGTTCATAATTAGGATGTACTCACTTTAGAGAGGAGTGCACCAGTACCCGATTTTACTATAGTATTTTTCAATATATCTATTGATAAAAATGTCATTATGTATAAGACAGAATTTGTTGTGCATATGAAAACAAAAGCAAAATAATTGGTTCTATTTTGTAGTAAGTTGAAGATCATTTTTCATCGAATTACCAAATTCTGCGATTTAATCAAAGTATTTCATGGCTTGAGATGTGTGAAACAAAGTTTTGCTTTGGTCCCGATAATTTTCTTTCCACCGGTTCCAGTCATAGTCTCGATAAATCTGATCTGGGCCCGATCCCAGTAACTTTTTTTCTTGTGGTCTCGCACACCTCCAATGGTGATTCATGTTGAAAGAGTTAATATCGACTAACCGCCGAACGACAAACAGTAAATCAGATAAATTTCTTAATGTAAAATCAGTGGAAGCATAAATTACCTTACTAAAAATATTTCTATCATCAATATGTTTTAAAAGATAAAATGAGAAGATGATATAAATCTTTCTTATTTCATTTTAATCCTTTTTCAAAGATAGAAGATATTAAGTATTCTGTTATGCTAAGATGCATTAATTAAGTAGTTTCCAATTTGTAGGTGTATAAGTGAAGAAAAATGCTTTTTTTTGTATGCAATATTGTATGATTTCTCAATTTATGGAAAGATTCGAATTAGAAATTGAGAATTTTACATATTTTGACTCTTTCTTTTCAATACTTATCTTCTCTAGATACTATTTATCCAATAATTGATGATAGGGTCCGCTAGCTCACGGTACATCAATTCTTTATCTTTCTGTTGGTCAAAACTTCACCATTAATATGAATATACTTGATTATGACTATGACTCATAACAAAAAAAAAAAAAAGAATGAATGCCCTATAACGTAATAAAATATCTACTTTCCTCTTAAACTCGCTTGATTGATTGATCGATCATGCCTGAAGGACGATAAAAAGAAGTACCATCAATCTGTATTGTTCCTTTGTCTTATAACAATCTATTCATTTTCTTTTTCTATTTATAGATATATTAGATAAAGAATATTATCAGGTGTTGTTTTGTCTTTCTAGATATATGAAATACCACATGGATCGACATTAACATATTATCACATTATATCATATCTAAGAAACATAATGGCTAAAGCCTATGATTATTTATTCAAATTACTTTTGATTGGTAGGTTTTGTTTTGTTTGACAATAATTATTTATATATGTTTTGTTTTGTTTATTAAGGTGATAGTGGTGTTGGAAAGGTCAGTTTGATATTTTGTTTTTCTAGAATAAATTTATAATTGAAAGTATTTCTAATTTATAGACATGTGTTCTTTTACGTTTTTGTGATTCAGCATTTAGTACAACCTTTATTTCAACTATAGGTAAATGATTTATTTTGAATTTTTCTAAGATAATTTTAGTATTAAATTAGGAATTGATTTTAAAATACGAACAATTGATCTTGATGGACGAAAAATTAAATTACAAATTTGGTATGTTAAATTTTTAGAAAATTAATTTAATCTTTCATTTATTTCTTATCTTTCTAGGGATACAGCGGGTCAAGTAAGAATTTAGATTCTTATATTTATTTTAATTTTATATACATATACATATATGAATAGGAACGATTTAAAACAATAACAACAGCTTATTATCGTGGAGCAATGGTACATAATAATAATAAAAAAAAAGTTCTTTATTTTTAAAAAATTATAATTGTTAGGGAATTATGTTGGTATATGATATTACAAGTGAAAAAAGTTTTGATAATATTAAAAATTGGATTCGTAATATTGAAGAAGTATAGAAAAATGAAATTTTTATTAAAAGAAAAAAAAAATGTTTCAATACTTTTAGCATGCATCAGCTGAAGTCGAACGAATGCTTATAGGAAATAAATGTGACATGCAAGATAAAAGACAAGTCAGCCGAGAAAAGGGTGAACACGTACGTAATGTTTTATGTAATAATCTTAAGTGTTTTTTTTCGCATTTTGACATTATTCAATTAATAGATTCTTATAAGGTTATATATAGTTTAAGTTCTGATTAGTATCTTACAATTAGTTTGGTTCAGAGCATGGGTCCGAGTCTGAAATCATACTCGGACTCAATTTCGCAATTAAAGAGATGTCGACTGTTCAAAATATTTTAACTGTCTCAAATTGCTCTTTATATAAAAGGGATATAGGTAAAAACCGGTTCGATTATGATCGAGCAATTTATTTTACATGAGAAGAGATCATCGAAGTGAAAATTCATCTACAGATAATGATAAAATAGTTGAATATATGAAGAAGAAAATGAATTATCAAAAAAAAAAGTGAACATCTATTATCGTGATGGAAAAAACATAAACATATTTGTTTACAATTGTAATATTTGGCATCAATATTACGTTCCATTCCAGTCTCACCAACAATAAGCAAACATATTCTTAGCTAAGTCGTTCGGATTTTAGAATCATTTGATTTGTTGTGGAATTAGAGATTATCTCTTTTTTTGTTGCTGTCTAAGGGAGAAACTAAATAGAATAGTTTTTTTCATATAAAATAAAGCTTTGATAACCGTACTGCGACTGTGAAAGTATCTGTCAGATGTCGATTAGGTTCAGTGGGATACTGGATATAGTTATCTGGATCCGACTATAAGATAGCCGGGTTCTATTACGAAAAGTCGCACTGTTACTGGACACTAGTTCTCATAAATTTAGTTTAGATGAATTGAAATTTTTTTTAATTTCATTTTCTTCTTATTAAATCGGTGTTTAATGATTGTAAAATGAATAGTTTTTAGTTTTGAAGCAATATAACCAATAATAATACTGTACTATTGTTATAACAATCTTTTTATTTTGATGTGTTGATATAAAAAAACAAATCCGAATTATTCTGCATGTATATAGATGTTACTAATATTTGCTTTGTTTTTTTCTTATTTAGCTTGCTATGGAATATGGTATTAAGTTTACGGAGACTAGTGCTAAAGGAAATATTGTAAGTATGATTATGATTATCATTGATATGTTTAATATGTGATGATTAATCTAGAATGTGGATGAAGCTTTTCTTTCTCTCGCCAAAGATATCAAAGCAAAAATTGACAAGAAAGCTGTATGAATCATTTACTTGGTATTTTTATGTATATGAAATTTTTTTATTATATTATAGGGTACTGATCAAACTGGTAATCGAGTAATCTCTGGTGGTATTAGGCCAAAACAAGATCCAAATAAAAAACCTGGTACATCATTTTGGTCTCGTTGTTCATTTTTCTAAACAAAAATCAAACAAACAACTTGTCATAAAACTAATCATCTGTTTTCTTATTTCTAAGTCATCCAATGACAGAGTTAACAGCATGAACATCAATGACAGGTTTTCTTCTTCTTTTCTTTTTTATTGAATGCCGATCAATCATCACATCCACTTTGTATATCGTATTGTCGTTTGTTTTTTTTTTTCTCTTTCATTATTTCGTTTGTTATTATTCTTGGGTATCTAACATTTTTCTTTTCTTTTTTTTTTTTCGTATTGTGGAATAAAATAAAACATATACGCTTCTATTAATGATGATTGTTGACTTTCGAAATGACGACGACAAAGGTGGACAAATAAATCGATCAACTAGTTCACCAGCTTACTAATCGCTTCAATATGACATCTTATGATTTTTTGCCGTCTTCTTTTCTACTTGTTCCGATGAATATCTTCTTTCTCCGCCTGCTTCTCCTCCTCCTCGTTCTTCTTCTTTTCCGATTGTCGGCTACGAAACGAAATCTTTTGGTCAAATATATTGAATGAATGTGTCCTCATTCGAAATCTTGCGTGTGCGTTTGTTCACAATGTACACAAAAGAAAAGATAAAAAAAAATAAGAATGTCCGTACGATGAACTAGTTAATCATACGCAACAATCGTTTGTTGGATTTAGTTTACGATAAGAGAGAAAATTTTGACAAGGAAAAGAAAAAAAAAAACGTCAAAGAAGGACACTGACGTAAACAAAATTAAAAAATACCATTGAACGATGAATTGAACGGGAAAAATTTCGAACATCGTCAAAAACAAGTATGTATGAATTTAACTTTCCAAGGTTCGAACGAAATTTACCAAGTTAGTCAAGTAGATGCGTGCTTCGATTGTAGTTTACATAAGAGACAATGAACTTGACAGATTTTAAGAAAGAAACATTAGAAAAAGAAATGGTAAGATCAATATTTCCAAGATAATTGAATTTCAATATTAGGTTTTATTTGTTATTATTTCGATCTGGTCTAGATATATGAAGAAAAAAAACTTATTTTTTTCTGAGCACAAGGAGAAAATGAGGTTTTCAGTTCAATGTACATCAACTTGTAAGAGTACATTAGAATATAAGAAGCTGAAAAAAAAAGGATTCATCTTCAGACTAAAGCAGATCATTTGATTCCAGAGAATAAGTTCTTTGAATTTTTCATCTGACAAGAGAAGTCATTCAACTGATTAACTACTTTAGAATCGAAACTATATGCATCATGTAAAACCAAATGAGTTTTGAATATCCTAAAAAGAGTTCAGGTCGTTAGCTTATCGAGATACTATACTTTTACGATAGCTTTTTAAATGAATGCCGTGACCATTCAGGAAAATTTATTTTCAAATTTCGACTGAAAACTTTACACCAGACAGGCTTTAACTAAGAGCAATTTATTATGAAAATTTCAGATATTTTGATTTCCTTCTATTCTGAAATAAGAACATTCTATCTACCGGTGTATATGATCAATGTTAAAGACACGCTTTTTTGAATAACTCTATCTTCGAATAAGGACAATGACAAGAGTTGAAACATTCACAGAAAACTTTTTCTATGCAAAGTTTTCAGTCAAAATTCGAAAATTAACTTTCCTGATATTCTTAAGAGAGACTATGACATTATTTTGCATTATCATTTGTCAATAAAGTGTAGGTGTTGCTGCAAGCCGACAACAATCTCACTATTGATGAGACGAATTAGTTTAGGGTATCCTAGGTCTGGATAAGAACTAAATTAGATACTTCTCCAGATCAGCACACACCGCGGCAGCTACACTCTCTTTAGTTGGCTCTACCAGTTAGACCAATTAGTATAAAAGGGTGTCATCAATCTGTAGAAGAATTATGTTTTTAAATGGATATATAGTTTTTCTACAGATACATACACTTCATTCACTAGTTGCTTTGATCCCTGAAAATGAAGTGATGAATATGAATCATATAGAGATAACCAAGTAAAGATCATGGCAGATCATCACTAGAAAAAAAAATTGGTGATCAAAAGTACTTTTTCCCAAAACACTACCATAAAAGTGCAGTATCTCGGCAGCAATAAGCTAAGAGTCTGAACTTTTTTAGGGTAATCATATCTCATTTGGGTTTACATAATGCTATTCATTTGGGAATAGATACGATTCTATATAGTCCTATCAGATGATAAAATTTTCCTTTGGGTAATAGTTTAATAAGCATAAAAATCTTAATAATAAATATTGTTAAGACTTCTGTAAACAATAATTATTGTTTTCATTTATTTAGTCTCATACAATGGTACTTAAAGTTGGTTCAGGTGATATTGATGATTTATCAACATTAAATGTTCTTGATGAAGCAAGTCTTTTACGTGAATTACGTGCTAGATATAAAAAAGGAATAATCTATGTAAGTTAATGTATTCTTATATAAAGATTGTATTTTTATTTAATTCAATTGGTTTTTTTTAATCTATGAATAGACATACATAGGAGATGTACTCATTGCAATTAATCCATTTAAACAATTAAATATTTATGAAAAACAAGTTTGTTTTTTGTTTTAAAAATTAATATTGAATAGAAACTTAATATTTATATTTTAGCAACATGATCTTTATAAATATGTTCAATGTCGACATCAATTAGCACCACATATTTTTTGGGTTGCTGATCAAGCTTATCGAAAACTTTGTTTAGCGAAAAGATCACAATGTATTGCAGTTTCAGGCGAAAGCGGAGCTGGTAGAATCGATTAATATATATATATATATTTTTTTTATTTTGTGAATTTATTTTATTTATTTTACATATAATAGGAAAAACTGAATCGACAAAACTTATGGTTTCTCATATAATTCATTGTTCAGGTGATGCTGGTGATCGTGAATTACAAAATCGAATAATTGAAGTTTGTATTTAGATAAATTAAGAGAGAAGTTATGAGACCACAGAGTATAAGAGATACTCGATAAAAAGAGTTTTTTTTTGTATATTCAATGTACCAATGGCTGAAACCAATAAACTCAAAATTTTAGCTTTCAATAGCCTCTTCTTCAAATATTAGTTAATGTCTACTTTTTACCACAATCCTATCCTTATAAGAAAAAGAACAGCGAAAAATAGCCTTTAGAAGTTGTGCTTGTTCTTGTTTATAATGTAATACAATATTGATCAACTTAAGTTGTATAAGGCCAACATGAATGAAGAATGATTTTTGTTTTCAATTACCATACCAAAGTGTTCCGCAAAATAAATAGGACATTTGAAATCGGCGTCAAAAATTATATGGAATCAAATATATTTTAGACTCTATTAAAGGGTGTCTTTTCTCATAAGGATATAATATAATGATAAAAAGTTGATATTGACTAACTATTGAAAGAAAATCTATCGGAAGCTAAAATTTTGAGGTTGGCGGTTTTAGACATTGATGCATTGAATGCACAGAAAACAAGAATTTTTTTTTTTAATCGAGTGCCTTGTATATTCGATGGACTTGCGATTCCTCTTTTAACATGTTTAATATGATTAGACATCACCCTTACTTGAAGCATTTGGAAATGCTCAAACATGTATGAATCAAAATTCAAGTCGTTTTGGAAAATATCTTCAATTAAATTTTACGGATGCAGGTCGCATTATTGGTGGTATGTTATTAATTGAATATATGATTGATTATTATTCATGATTCCTTTTTGTGTTCTTCTTTTTCTCATCAGCGAAAGTTTATCATTATTTACTTGAAAAATCTCGTGTTGTTCAACATGGTCCTGGCGAACGAACATTTCATTTTTTCTATTATCTATTTGCTGGTCTCGAAAAAGAAACTTTAGAATATTTTTATTTGGATGATCCAGAAACTTATCGGTATAAGAATTTCTTTTTATTTCGTTAATATTTAATGATTTATTTATTTAGAATTTTAAAAGATCCATGTGGTGGAAAAGTATTTCCAAGTCGATCGGATTTTAAACATTGTCGACAAATGTTTAATACACAAAAAGAAATAATGCGAAGAGTGGGATTTACTGATGATGTAAAATATGACTTTTTAATGTGATGAAAAAGAATATTTTATTTTGTATTATTTAGGATATAAATATGGTATTTACTATTCTTTCAGCAATTCTTCATTTAACAAATATTCACTTTTCACATGATGATGAAACTGATGGAGTTTATATTGAAGATGAATATCCATTAGAAGTTGGTAGGTGATGTCTTAGTTTTTGTTTGTATAATTTTGTTAATTAATGAAATTTTATAAATTTGAATTTTTAATTATTGATTATACTTCTACAAAAAATATATCTCAAAAGAAATCTAATGATGATATAGGGCGATAACACGTCTGACAAGGGAACATTTCGAACTGTCTAATCTCTATTCACTGGAAACTGTTACCATCCGATCGATCATGATGAGTAGTGAAATAGTCTGTTTTGTTTTGGTTTTTAATTCTTCACTTGTCGAGTTATGAACATTTTACTCGGTTTTCATACAATGAGCATAATACTGGTGAGAACCTGAACGATTGAATTTCAAGCTGGAATTTTGTCCATAGATTTGCTCCATAGTCACTAGAAACTCCTCAAAACTTGTGTTACCGGAAATATATATCCGTATTGAGACATAAGCTTGTCATAGGAATTCAGCTCGAAATTCGATCATTCAGGTTCTCAGCGATTCTATGTTCATAAAGCAAAAATTGGGTAAAATGCTCATAATCAACATCGGAATCCTGAAAAATCAAATCAAAACAGACTTTTTTCTTTCTACTCATCATGATCGACCGACTGGCGATAGTCTCGATTGGAAAATGATTGGACAGTTAGGAATATTTTCTCGTTAGTTCTTTTTTTTGTTAAACTTTCTTCCAATGAATTCTTAAGATTGGTTTCTATTGCATAAATTTAAGAAGCATTATTTTATTTTGAAAATCCATAATCATCCATGTATCCAGAGAGAGATTTATCATTGAAAATGATGAATAATTTTTCACTTTGAGAAATCTGTGAGACTTTTATTGTGAACTACTCAGCTTGGTTGTATTTAAATGTTCATAAACTTGCACAGACTAAAAAACTGAGGCTTGAATATTTTTGGGTCTGTTGAGTTTTATGCACACTTAAATGAAACCAAGCTGTGTAACTTGAGATAAATGTCTTGTAGATAGAGTCTCATCGGATTCAAAACTTTCGTATCCGATCCGATTCGACATCAACCCGACGGGGTTTATTTGTAGAGAAGATTTCTCATCTATATCAACGACATTTCTCTCTCGATACATGCTCACCTACAATACATTGAATTACTTTTCATTTTTGACTATATGATAGTGATGATTAGAGATTCGAATAGGAAGTTATTTTACATCTGTAAATATTTTCGAATGAATACTAATCAATGAAAATCTTCAATATTTCTTAAAATTTGGCAAAATAATAAAGAATAAGTTCTATTAACAAGATTAGATTGAAAGAAGATGACAACCAAAGAACGTTCGGAATAATTCAGATTTCAATAACAACTTAGATACCAATTTTATATAAAATTTTGCAGCTGAAAGACATAATGATTAATAAAATTTCAGTGTTTTCATCATAAATCGATATGGGTGGATTTTTTTATAATTGTTTTTTTTTGTCTATTTCTATAGTTTGCACCTTACTGGCACTTGATCAAGAAATTCTTACCATGGCTCTTATTTCAACATTTAGTATAACTAAAGGTATATCCTTAAGATTAACATAAAATTTCATTTATTACAAAAAAAGTCATATTTCTAGGTGAACGTGTTATTAGTTTAAAAAATTTTGATCAAGCTAATGATTGTCGTGATGCTCTTGCTAAAGCTTTATATGAACGTTTATTTTCATGGATTGTTAAACAAACAAATACACTGTTACAACCAAATCGACGGTAATATTATTTTCTTAAAAAACAACAAAATTATTTATTTTTTTTTTTTTTTTTTAATATATTAAATAGACATAATCATACAGATAATAATGTTTATCGTACATGTTCAATCTTAGATATGTCTGGTTTTGAAAATTTTCAAGTTAATAGTTTTGAACAATTATGTATCAATGTTGCAAATGAACATCTACAGTATTATTTTAATGAACATATTTTTTTACAAGAAGAACAAGATTATGGAACAGAAGGTGTATCATGGGAAAAAGTTGAATTTCAAAATAATGAAGATTTAATTGAATTATTTATGGGAGTATGTTAAAAATTTCATTTGTTTTGTTTTTTTTATTTTAAAAATAAAATTCTTTGTAGACATTAGGTATATTTGCATTACTTGATGAAGAATCTCGTTTTCCAAAAGCAAATGATGAATCATTGGTACAAAAATTTCATAGTCATTGTAAAAATCATCCAAGATATATAAGACCAAGAGGCAATGAAACAGCTTTTGGAATCCATCATTATGCTGGAAAAGTATTAAATAAAAATTATTAAAATTTCATATTTATTTTTTTTTTATTTATTATTTATTTATTTTAGGTTGTTTATGATGCTCGTGGATTTTTAGAAAAAAATCGAGATAATCTTAGTGCAAATTTAATTGAATGTATGGAAAAAAGTGGAATTGAATTAATTGGTTATTTGTTTACTATTAATGATGATACAACTAGCATATCAGATACTGTTCTATCGTCTATGTAAGTTAAGTCTGTCATATACATTTAATCAATAATAAGGAGACATAGTAGAATCAATTTTCTTTTCTTTTGAGAAATACGAGATAGAAGAAGTATAAAAATTTGCAATTTCCCTCCTCTACGGACGATGACAAACGTTATTATGAAAATATCCTAGATCACGATATTTCTCGAGGATTAAGTACAAGGATGGTGAAGAGATATGTACTAAAATTAAATTGAATAAAACAATCTCCCATTGATTAGTGGCAGCTGCTACATCGTGGTTTGCAATTTAAATCCACAGGAATTGTGTTATTCCCCGAGATATTAGGTTTTTATCTGTCTTTTACAATTTTTGTGATTTGAAATACCAAATGAATCATACAGGATGCCAGAGATGTCCATTACGAAGTGGCAGGATTACTTTCTATGCCATGTTGAATATCTCTGGGAGATGCAGAGCTTTGTAGATTTGAGCATTTTACATCATATAGATGCTTAATATTCTTAATGACATCATAAAAAACTTTAATCAGTCTAGTGTTTAAAAATCATTCAACACCTCAAAGTTACCATGCTTGCAATGTTATATTCATGTTTTTAAACATTAACCTTCATCACAAAAGATGCTTGATACAATGAGCCTTTGTACATCTATTGTAGATTAAGTTATACATTTTTGTGCTTTGTTTTTCAATAAAATGATTAAAAAATAGCAAAGGTGATGATTTTCATCCTCATTTTCTGTGCGTAAATAGAATTAGAAATTTGTAGAATTTCATTTATCCTATAAAAGATTCTTTTAAGGACGCCCCTCCCACCCCTCAGAAAAAGCCAATTTTGGTCAAACGTATGGATTTTGCGATTTTTAGCTCGTTAGATAGAGCGAAGTGTCTACTGTCGAATGCACTTTAGTTTATTGATTTTATGGTGAGATTTAAGGATATTACATAGCTTTTTCTGAAAAATGTTGGTTTTTACGTTTCCGTGCATCTCAGATTTCTCTGTTGTTTTAAACACTAGAAGGCCTCGGTTGGGTGTCAAAGATGGAGACAAAAATTAGTTCTACAACTTAACAAAGCTGGGTATCTTGATTTCCCCATTAATGTTTATAAAAAAGAACTAATCGTTATGAATCTACTCTCTCCGTAGGTTTTCCGGATTTAATCCGAGGAATTTTCTAGGAACACAAGCTAGGAGGAAATCGAAAAATCAGTCCTTGTTAAGTTATCAGCTAAATTTTATCTTCATTTTGACACCTATCCGAACCTTCTAGCATTTGAAATGGCGGAGAAATTCGGGACACACGGTCATCTAAATCTCGACTCATATTCTGTCTTTATTATGTTGTTCGATGGTATAACGGATATAAAGACAATTGTAGTTCGCGTAATCTATGATGATATGTCTCACATGGGGATAACTTTATGTATATCGATAAGAGCTTCGATTGATATCTAATATATTCAGATTTAGCCTAAGTTGAATTAATAATAGGAAGATTAATTTTAAAAAAATTCTTTTTTTCTAAAAATTGATTTTTTCGGTAATGATTAAATTGCGAACGATTTTTTTTCTAATATACTTCAATCTAGAGAGCTGTATTTTTTTTATCGATAGATACATCCATAGTCTTTCAGAGGAGCGCAAGGAATTTTCTAATTGGTCATCAGTGCTAGGGAAACACCAGGTTTTTCAGAAAATCATGCCTAGGATTTCCAAATTTTTTAGATTTTGATAATCTTTAAAATGCAACAAAGTAACAAGGTAAAAAGATTCTTTCCCTCATCTGAAGTAGTAATGAGCCTTAAAATCAAGCTAATCATCAAAAACTAAGGCAAAAAGAAATATTTTTCATAGTGATTATTTTATATCATTTTTCTTAATAGCAATATTAATTAAAGAACTACTATTGGTTACTCCTAATCAACAAATAAGACAGAAGAAATTAGAATTTTAAAAATCTTAATGCATACCATGATGTATTCAAGATATTTGAGTTTAAGACATATGTAGCTTAAAAATAACTAATAAATAAAGAAAACTTGAAGCTAATCGCCTATTCGTTAGCAAACAGAAATCGAAATTCAAAAATTGTTTAACTCAGTTTAAATGTAGAATACATCTAGAATAGATTTGGAACCAAAGTCTCGGCTTTTGGATTTGCTTTTTGGACCAAATTTACGTAAACAATTCGCAGATTTGACAGTCGTTATCGAATCTCAAACTATTTATATCATTTTTGTTCAAGAACAAACCTACAAGGCAACGCTTTGGTTCCAAAATCTTTTTTATGCTTTTAACGAACTGTAATTTGTAGAAGTCGCTCAAAGTCATTGTGTCAATACCTCAAACCGCTAATTCATTCAATCACGATGATGAACTATGCTATAAAGTTTGTGACTTCTACCCTTAATTTCGACTGATATTCTTCTTACCTGTCTTCAAATCAATGAACCTTGCTTGTACATTCTGAATATTAGATTTATCATTAATAAAAGAAAACCGAACCATTTAGCTAAGATCGATTCATAACATTTGATTCTCTTTAGAAGAATGATTTTAAAATGCACCCGATAATAATACTTTAGTCAAGAAATATAGGTCGGAAAACTCGAGAAAATGGTAACAGCTTGGAAACAGGGATCCAATGATCACATCTGTCTGATTACAATCGGAACTATAAAAGATCTGGCTACTAGATTCGATTACCGAATCCCTAATTCCAATTTTCCCGAGTTTTTCGTGTAGGAACTTGCCAGAATCCTTGGCCTAGATACTTTTTTCTACAAATTGCCATAAACTCTTTTTGGATCAGTAACTTTTCTCGATTAAAAATTCACTCTGTTTAGTAAATTCTATTTCCTATATTTTCAGCCCAAAAGGATGTGTTATCCTTGAGACATAGGATGTTGAAAAGACTGGAGTTTTTACCTTTCTCCTTGTGATAGATCATTGCTTTTTGATATTCAATATCTCAAGAAGCACATATTTCTCTATGCTGAAACTTTCAGGGTATTCTAATATGTATGAGATATACCAATGGGTAAGCTTAATTTGATTTTTTCATAAATATCTTTTCAGAGATTAAAAACTCCGTAAAATTGTAATAACTTGGGTAGAATAACGCATGAGACGAATTCTTATTGACTTCTAATAGTCTTATCAAAAACTAGTTACGAACAAAATATCAATTCGATTGACGAGTAAAACTATTATAGTTATGTGCAAAGAAAAGATTATAATAAGATGAAATATTTCATGTAATCTTTGTGTAATTTTGATTATTTTAAGTTCACCATTTGGAATGGTAAATAAGCCTAAAACAACTTCATTTCATCCAACTCGTCGTCCAAAATCTTTTGATACTGAATATACAAAAGAAAATTTAAGTCAAAAAGCTGCTAAATCTCTTCGACAAGAATCGTACGTTGATTATCTGTTGTTGTTTTTTTTCATAAAAATTATTGTTGTTTTTTTATGATAATTTATTTAGACGACCATATAAAACGAATACAGTTCAAAAAGAACGTTTTAGTCAACATACAGTTGCTGTTCATTTTAAAGTAAACATTTCTTAAAGTCAAACATTTTTTAAAAATATTTCTCTCGTAGAATTCTCTTGCTGAATTACTCGATAAAATGAAAGATGCTGAACCATCTTTTGTCAGGTATGTAGATCACTATGTAAATATCATTTGTACATGGGTGGTAGTAGAAGAGGATGTTTTTTTTCTTTTCTTTTCTATCACTGCTGCCCAGTCGGTTAGATTACTCAACATTCTCTTAAATTCTATTGTATTTGTTCTCTTGTTACCTTCGCGTTCGTGACAATGATACAAATTGTTTAAATGTATTGTGTACATCGACAATGAAAAACTAATAAAGAAATCTATGTGTGAAGTTTACATGAAGGTAGACGTATTCATTTGTGTATTATATAGAATAACAAAGGATAGATTTATCATTCAATCTTTAGTTTATATTTATTGAATGTATTTGATTAAACAACGTTTTTATTCGAGTATGTAAAATTAGAAAATAAAAATAAAAAAAAACTTTAAAGATTTGTTGATTCCGAAATTTACTATTTGTTACTTGTACGATTAATTTACACGATTACTTACCGTCGAAAGGTTTATTTCGCTTGCGTCTTTTCTTTTTTTGTTCGCATTGCGTGCTTGGATTTTAGTTAGTTTCTTCTCTTCAAACGAACGTTTGTTTGTTTCATCAAAGATTGAGAAGAGTAAGGTATATAGTAATATATTTTTTTATGTTTATCTATTGATTAGTCTTAAATGTTGAGTAACGAACTAACTAGAGCAAGTTTTATTGACATTTTATATTTTGTTCGATTCGTTTCTAATTGTATGTCTAATGTCCGATTTGAATTCTTTTTCAACAAAATCTACTTTGAAAAAATTTTTTATTGATCAACAATATTCAAATGATATATGGCAAGATTTATCGGATGTAACATCAACATTTATGTATGATGATCAAAATCTTGATATATCATCATTATCAAATGAAAAAAATACAAATAGTTGGCAAACAATTAATGATTATAAGGCAATACCAAAATCATATGGTTTCGATAGTGAACAAGCTGGTTATTGTCGATTTGATCGACATGGTCATTGGCTTCTTGTATCACCTTCACATCCTTTTCACGATGATGGGAATAAAGCTATTACATATGACGATACGAAACATTTATCAAAAGATTCAAGTTCACAACAAATTGAACATACATTTCCTGATTCATGTGAAAGTTTAACTGTTTCTATCGATTTTCATGTACCAACCGATGAATTAATAACAGATAATGATGATACAAATGGACAAAATATGGCTGTTTGCAATAATCAAATACAACACTATGATAATATAACATCAGATGAGATATGCACAATTCCGAGGTAGACACAAAAATAGCAGATATATTGTAAATTTATCACGTAAATATTATATTTTTGAATTACGCGTGAAATTTCGTTCTACGAAATATAAATAAGGTCGTTATTGCGATATGTAAGTCATTCATTTACTTCGAAAGTATTACGTTCAAACGATGGACTAGTACCTACCTATTCAAACATAGTATTCATCACATGGTAGCATACATTTTCAGTGCTGATAAGAGAAGTCTTTCAATTGATAAAATCACTTTTGAGTCGAGATTATGTAAATCTAAATGAGCTATGAATACTTTTTTGTTATTGCTGCGAAGATATTGCAATTTTTACGGAATTTTTTAAAGTGAATGTCATGATCCTTCTAAGAAATACCAAATAAATTGAATTTCGAATTTTGATTTGAAACTTTGCATAGCGACATGTGTCTTAACAAGAATAGTTTATTGTGAAAGTTTCAGATCTTTTGATTTACTGAAATAAGAACATTAAATTGGTCAGAGCAATGCAAAAGATACGCTATTACTAATATTGTATCTTAGAACGAGAGCAGGGACAAGATCTGAAACTATTCTTTTTAAGACCTGTCTCTATACAACGTTTTAAATCGATATTCGAAAATCAACTTTTCTGGTGTTTTTGAGGGGGATTCCAGCATCTCTTTTAAAAAATACCGTAAAAGTGTAGTATCTCCATAGTAATAAGCAAAGAATACCAACTCATTTCAAAGTATTTATATCTCATTTAAGTGTATATAGCCTCGACACAAAAGAAATTAATCACTCGAAGGACTCCCTTCACGAGAGAGAACTCTGTAACAATTGGATATTTCGATATAAGCCACAATCTAACTCAAATAGATACGCAATTGTAGAAATATCGATGATGATTAGCATTTTGCGATTATCATCTTCTTCTAATTAGTATATAAACATTTCAATAATGTACAATATTCGGTGTTCGTCCTTCCGGAGTTTGAAATCATCTCTTTGATAGAGAAACTTTGGAAAAGACGAAATTTATTTTTTGATAAAATATTCTATTTAAATGTATCTTCATAGATGTATTAAACCAAATCACGGTAAAGTAGCTAATCAATTTGATGAAGAATTAGTTCAAGAACAATTACGTTATAACGGTATACTTGAAATATCTTATATACGAAATCAAGGTTGGCCAGTTCGTTTTATATTTGAAGAATTTTTTTATCGGTTTGTTTTATTTTATTTTCTAAAATAAAACTTTTTTCATTTTTCTTTTTCTTTTAATTAATTAGATATAAATTTATCTCTTATCCTCAAAGTAGTCCAATAAGAATTAATGCAATAACATGCGAAAAAATTCTCAAAGATTTATCATTAACTGATTATGTTATTGGCAAATCAAAAGTAAAAAATAAATTCTTTTTTTTTGTTTCTATTTAACATTTTAAAATTTTTTTATTTTTTTAAGGTTTTTTTAAAATTCGAACATTTAGAAAAATTAAATTATCATTATGAACAGTATATAGCAAATATAATTAAATGTCAAAGAGTAGTTAAAGGTTTTCTTGTACGCAGAAGTCTTTTACGTAAAGCTAAACATTATGCTAATGAACGTCACAGTTTATTAACACAAGTAAATTTAAGTGGAAAACGAACATTAGAAAAACTTGTATCATTACCAAAAGTAAATATTTTTGTTTTTGTGTTTAACGGATGACGCATAATAAACCAGACAAAATGTTATCCTCTTTTTTAGAGTACTTCACAACAAATTAGAATATTCGATAGAGAATTTTCTACCCTACAAAAGTTATATTCTCTTTTATGTCAGAACAAAATTTAAAAGATGAGCACTTACTCGATCGTCTAACTGCGATTTTCAATTGTGTGTAAGCCTTTGCTCATCAAGATCGATGCTAATAGTAAATACACATTTTCTCTTCCGAAAGGATCAACTCGAATTTTGAAAGAGCGCCGCCCTCATCCGAGATAAAACAAACACTGGTCACGTTTGCTCCTCTGCTACCGGGCATAGAGTTCCATTCTGAACATAATAGTAAAATGATTAAATTGAAGGGCTAATTCCTAAAGAGTAAGACTTTTTCGTACCCTTGCCCTATTCTATGAACTGTCTACACTAACCCTACCCGGCAGAACTATGTTGAACAATAGAGATATTAAGACAAGAATAATGATGTAATTCTGTCAGAAAAGTTTTTCCCGCAGGTAGTTTTTCTACAAATCTGAGAATTTTGTGGCATATTTGAAACTTCAGCGAAAACTTTATGAAAAATTTTTTCCATTGTTTTTTTTGACTGACGTAGTTAGACGATTGAGTAGGTGTTCATCTTTTGAATTTTGCACCGAAAAAAACCAAAAAAATGTTTTGACTGGTTTATTATGAGTCACCTGTAAGTTTTAAAAAGTCATGAAATTATTTAGGTCCCAATAAAAAATATAAAACAATTAACAATAAAAATGGATGGTAAATCAGGGCGACGTTCCGGTCATTTTATAAAGAAAAAATCAAAGGATAAAAAGAAAATTGCGTCTGAAGAACCAACATCAATGAATGAACAAGAACATGCTGATATGTTAAAAGTAGCAAAAGTAATATTTTTTGAATTTTCAAAAAACTATCAATTAAAATTTCTTGTTTTTTTTTTTTTTGAAATAAATTTTATAGAAACTGCAATTACTTGATAATGATGAATTCGATGATTTAAATGGTATTGAACATGGAATAACTTCTCCAACACAACCATCTCTTCAAATAAGAACACCCGATGAATTAAAATCATCTTTAGAAGGTTTATCTGAACGTGAAACTCGCATTCTTGTTCAAGATGAATTTACACCAATGGTTAGTAAACAAGGTCAACAAAAAAAATTTCCCATTGAAACAAATATACAATCAGGCTCCGGATTACCACATGCAACAACATTAACATCAGAAGGTCCATTAAAAGTTCATGATGGTGTTATTGCTTCTATGGCTGCTAATATACCTATTGCACCCACAATGAATTTAACAACAGCTGAACAATTAATAAGACAAACAAAAGTTGCTGCAGCAAGTGGTGATTTATTTATGACTGGTAGAGAACTTTTATGATTACGAAAAATAAAAAATGTTGACTTTTTTCTTTGTATTGCTTAGATTGGGCAATCGGACAAGAAGATAAACAACAAATAAAAGCTGCACGTTCTAAATCAGAGCCAAGAAATGTTTTTAGTGAATTACAGGATGAAGATATTTTATCAGAACAAAAACGTTCAATAGTTAGAAAAATTCTTATGTTACAAAGACAAAAATTTAAAGACAATCAAGCGCGTAAAGCACGTAAAACTAATGAATTTGAAAATTCCATATATAGTTTTTCTAATGCAAATCAAACATCAAAACATGATGATGAAAAACCATTATTTGACGAGTAAAATTATTTATTTGTGTTTTTTTTTGTTAAAGAATAACATTATTTAAATATTTGTTTTTTTTATTTAGCGATAGTTTAGATTGTTGGGATGCAGCTAGAGAAATGAATCTTCCAGAAGCATATGAAAAAACAGTTCATTGTTATCGTTTATCAATGCGCATGTTAAAAATCGCTACATATGTGGTACTTAATATTGGTATACTAATAACGGCACTTGTTAGTAAAGGAGCTTTATTACTTATGACAAATTCAGTTGCTAAAGTACAAGAGGTAAGAAAAGTAAATCTTATATGCAAGATCATGCTTTGTCTTGAAAATTATTTCGCGCCTTTGTTCTCAAGATATCGAAATTTTGCTGGATGTCTAAATAAATAGCTAGCGTTCCCTTCAGGTCATGTCAAAAATTGAGTTTTATGTTTCGACTTCAAATTTTGCATGAACAAAGTTCTTAATAAAATTAGTTGATTCTGCAAGTTTTAGCTTTTCTAGTATTTCATTTTACATATGAGAGAATTTCGAATATTCAAATGAAAACTTTGTTTGCGCAAAATTTGAAGTCGAAACTTGAAAGTCGATTTTCCACGTGACCCGATGAAACCACAGGTTTTGTTGAAAAATTCAATAAAACTTCGAAAATACTATGCTCGATTTTTTAGAAATCTTGCTATCATATTTCATCGATGAAATCTTAGTATAAAATACATTAGATAGAAATCTCCATTGGCTTTTAAAATCATTCTTCGGACTCTATTCAATTGTTTAACATTATAGAAAAAACATACATTGTTTTAAAATTTTTCCGTTACTTTATATTTATATAATCAATGTGTTCATCATTATATTTTAGACACCTTATCAAGAACGTTGGGTATGGATGTTATTAATAGCGGTATGTGCTCCATATTTATTTACATTTTTCGACAGTCTTGGTAAATGTTTATTTGGTAATAAACCATGGCCAACAGTGAAAATTTTTACTATCGTATGTTTTCGTTTTGTTTCTTCGAGTTTAATTTTTATAAATTATAAATAGGTGTTTTTCATCGAAACTCTTCATAGTTTTGGTATAGCAATATTTGTTTTTCATATATTACCAAAATTAGATGCAGCAAGAAGTTTATTAATAATGAATGCTGTATGTCTTGTACCTGCTTTTTTAAAATTATTTTTGACAAAATCAAATTCATCGATTGTTCAACGAAGTCTTTTATTTCTAATGGATTTTTTTGCATTTGCTATGCAATGTTCATGTGTTGGAATTGCATTGGCATCGAAATTTTTAAAAAACGATGGACCAGTTACAGTTCAAACAACATCATCATCATTATTTTTACCCACAAGCACATTTTCTATACCATTATTAAATCGACATAAACGTCAAGATGATTTTATGAATGGTAATGTTGATCTATTAGGTTCTGGTATTAGTGGAAATAATGAAAATATTTTATTTACAACACCTGCAAGTAATATGAGTTCAATTGATCAAAATCTACAAACTATTTTAGCTGGATTTCATATTGAATGGGAATTACCTGTAGCTTTAATACTTGTTTCACTTACTTGGTAAGATATGTACGAATGGATAAGAAAGTGGAAAACAACAGGGAAGAAATTAATCTAAATAATTCGGCAATGACAGTAGATACCGATCTGTAGCTTTCAGCATTTGATTTCAAAAACTATTTGATAAAAATTAATAGAATCCAAGATAATTTGACTGAATAGATATGCAATATTATGTGCTCAATATTGAGATATGATCAGTGAATCATACGAATCATGTCTCTGAACTCGAAATCTTAGGTACTTCTATTCTGAAGCATCGAAATGGGACACTATATTCATGCAATATTTAACGAATATGAGGAATTTTATTTAGAAAAAAGTTGTCCAAAGTTCTCCTCTTTCGATTGATGCAAATCACAGGTCGCTAGTTGTCATTATGGTTGAGCTATTAAACTTACATCCACTTCTATTCAATTCTGGCATAGACAGTAGTAGAGCGTGTCACGATCATCATTGAATATTCTAGTTCACACACCATTTCTTCCAAATAATACGAAATACTTTACATAATTATTAGGGATGAGTGCAACCAATTGGTTTTGGTCCCGATACCGATACCAGCCTGAAAAAATGTTTACTTCAGATTTCGCGCTTAGTAATACATGTATTTCCTTCATCAAGTTCTAAAAATTATTAGACCTTTCTACAGACAAAATTTTAGATTGAATTTCTGTCACTTGTATTTTTGGGAATTACCTACAAATGAATCGAAAATCCAGTAAACTGACCATAACTCAGCGCCAACGGCCCATGAGAACAAACTCTTTTAGGCTTTGAGATATAGGTATAGGTTTTAAAATGAACTAAAACGACAGGCTGCAATTGGGGTAGTTCCCTCGTGAATAAGAAATCTTTTCGCTAATTATTTTTAGTTTCCTAAATAGATTGATCAAATTTTTATATGCATCAATGTTTTTTTCTAGGTGGGAAAATTTTGTTGATCGAGATATAAAAATTGGTGGTCGTACATTAGTACATATGAAATTATTAAAAGAAAACATTCTTGCAACACGACCAAAAACATCAATAATAATAACATGTTGGAAAATTCTTGTTACTGTTTTATTTGCATATATATTTCATCATGGAATATTTAATACATCAGTTATTTTTCCAATTAGTAACAATAATGAACAATTAGAAGATCCATTACCAAAATTATCTTTAGGACAAAATTCATGGGCAGCATTAGGTTTTGATCAACAACCATCACAAGGAATGTTTCCTATGTTACCACCACGTGAACGTCGTTCTATTGCTAATACGTCAGACTATATAAAACGAATTAAAAGACAATTTGATAATGATTTACCAAGTAATTTTGTTTATGATGAAGAAGGATTAAACTCCATTGCTGGAGGCGGAGGAGGAGTAGATGGAGGAACTAATAATCCGGGAAGTGAAGGAACAAATCCAAAAGATCGTTGGATTATTTATTTAACTCCGATGATATTAAAAATTCTAGCAGATGTATTATGTTTTTATATGGGTCGTTTAGCGTGTAAACTTTGTATGCAACGTATATGTTTTGCTTTACCAATAACATTAGTTACACCATTAGCATTGACAATATTACTTGTTATGTGTTCTGTTGCACCACAATCAACAGTTTTTATAGAAAATTTTCTTTTTTGGAGTTGTTATGCTGATTATGCAAAAGAATCATTTAAATGGCAAGTTATATGTGGTTTATTTTTATGGTGGTTATCAGAATTATGGATTGGTGGTCATATATGGTTTGGTAAACGACAACGCTTAGCATTTACAGAACGGTAAATAAATAATTTAATAAAATTTTTGTTTTATAACATATTTATTTCTTTTTTATTATATAGTTTATTTGTATCACCACGTTATTGTGCAACATTACTTGAACAATCTTTAATGATGAATAGACGTCGAAATGAACGTGATGAATTATTAACTGGTATATATGATGAAATGAGTACAACAAATGGTGAATCAGAATTTGATGAACAAAGTATGGAAGAATTATCAATGGAAAAAAAATTAAGTGCTGATGTACATACGAAAATATATTCATGTGCAACAATGTGGCATGAAACTGAAACGGAAATGTTACAATTATTAAAATCAATTATGAGGTTTGTTTTATTTTAAGATGAATTTCAAATATTAAAATATTAATATCATATAATAATCATTTCTATTGTCAGTAAACATCTCTGGATAGTAGACTTAGTAGTTGTAAATAACTTAATGTGAATTTGTTTAGAAACTTCTCATTCCATATTTAGATCGTTTGATGTCAAATCTATAATGATTTTCTTAAAAAAATTTGTATATGTTTTATATTTAAGATTGGATAGTGATCAATGTGCACGTCGAACAGCTCGAAATTATTTACATCTTAAAGATCTTGATTATTATGAGTATGAAGGACATATATTTTTTGATGATGCTATGGAAGAAGATGACAACAATGAACAAGTATCAAATAAATTTGTTCAACAACTACTTGGAGTTGTTGATCGTGCTGCTACGTATGTCTTTTCAATTTTATTTTTGTTGTAATTTTTAGATTTTTCTTTTTTTTTGAAAATATTTATTAGAGCTATCCATCAATGTCCAATGAAAATTCCTCCACCATATAAAACCCCAACACCATATGGTGGTCGATTAACATGGGTATTACCAGGTGGAAATTTTCTTATTGCACATATAAAAGATAAAACAAAAATTCGACATAAAAAACGATGGAGTCAAGTAATTGAAAAAGTTCTTTTCGTTTATTTGATTCTTTTTTTTTTTTTAATAAATCTTCAGGTTATGTATATGTACTATTTGCTTGGTTATCGTCTATTTGGTGATTTAAATATAATAGAAAAATTATATAAACGAAAACGAAAAAAAAATTCTTCGAAAAATAAATCTAAATTATTTAAAGGTTTTGGAAATTTACTTAATAATATGGATAATAAAAAACGTATACAAGTAAAGAATTTCAAAAGAAAAACAAAGAATATTTAATATAAAAAAATGTTAATTTTTGTTTTCACATATAGATGGAAAATACATATTTGTTAGCACTTGATGGTGATGTTGATTTTCATCCTGAAGCTGTACGTTTACTTGTGGATCGAATGAAAAAAAATAAAAAAGTTGGAGCTGCTTGTGGACGTATTCATCCAATTGGAAGTGGTAAAAATCTTTTTTCTTTTCAATTTTTTCTTTTCTATTCATTATAAAACTCTAAGGTCCTGTTGTTTGGTATCAAAAATTTGAATATGCTATTGGTCATTGGCTTCAAAAAGCTGCTGAACATATTTTAGGTTGTGTGGTAAGAAAATAAATTTATTCTTTTCTCATATGAAATAAAAATAAATCTTTTCTTTGAAGATGTGTAGTCCAGGTTGCTTTAGTCTTTTTCGTGGTTCAGCATTAATGGATGATCATGTTCTTCGTACATATTGTACAAAATCAGTTGAAGCTCGACATTATGTGCAATATGATCAAGGTTTTTTTTTTTCAAAATCAATCTTTCAATTATTATTATTGTTATTTTTTTTTTTTTGACTTTCTTTTATAGGTGAAGATCGTTGGTTATGTACACTTTTATTACAAGAAGGTTATCGTGTTGAATATTGTGCTGCATCAGATGCACTTACTTATGCACCAGAATCATTTCATGTTAGTTTTAATTTAGTTTATTTAGAAAAGAGTTGAATTTTTATTTTTTTTTAAATAATAGGAATTTTTTAATCAACGTCGTCGATGGGTACCATCAACTATTGCAAATATTATTGATTTTCTTGCTGAATATAAAAGAATTGTTATTGTTAATGATAGTATATCATATTTATATATAATCTATCAACTTTTTTTAATGGTTTCCACTGTTCTTGGTCCAGCAACAGTACTTTTAATGATTATTGGAGCATTCAATGCTTGTTTTGGTATGTTTTTAGATTTGAATACGAATCTATTCGATATTGATCTTTAATTGATAATATGACAGTACGAAGTATTTCATCAAATAAGTCAAAATTATTTAGTTAGAATTTCACTCGACTTTCACAATATAGTATAAACATTTTCTCACAAAGCTATTTTGTAACATTGAGTGTGTTTCCATAGCAACTGTGGACAACCGACGTCAGGCATAGTGGCATAGCCTAAGATAGATTAGACCTACGATCGCCCAGAAGAAATAAAAATATAATAACTACCACTACTGTAACAATATCGCATAGATTTCCCCCCAAGATCATACGGTACTACACTAACAAGATAAAAAAAAGGAAAATTCAACTTAAAAATGCTTTATTCTTCAAGTCTTGATATAATAATTAAAAAATCCTATTAGGACACGGAATATTATGTAAAGATTTATCTACATCTTCTAGGTACCAGCCTGTGGCAATCGATGTATATGTCTGTCTTGCCTGCTTTTTTTTATTTGCTATTATGTTTTCATACAACAACAGATTTTCAAATTCGTGCGGCAGCATTTTTTTCAGCTGTTTATGCCATAATAATGATGGCAGTTATTGTTGGTACGACAATTCAAATAGCAGAAGATTCTTGGACATCACCAAATGCTGTTTTCTTAATGTTATTATTTTCTATATTCTTTATTGCTGCTTGTATGCATCCACAAGAATTTTGGTGTATTGTACCAGGTTTATTATATTTTTTATGTATACCAAGTGGATATTTATTTTTACTTATTTATTCTCTTTGTAATCTTAATATTGTATCATGGGGTACGAGAGAAGCACCGAAAAAAGTTAAAAAAAATCAAACAAAAGAAGAAATTGAACGTGCACGAATGCAAGAATTAACACAAGTTAAACAAAGATCTGCTGGATTTTTTAATCAAGTAAGAATTAATAAATAAAACTTTTAAAAAAACACACAGAGAAAGATTTGTATTGATTATTATCTTATAAAAGGTATTTGCAAATTTTAATTTTAAAAAATATGATCAACGAATACGTTTATATGCACGTAAATGGCTTGGTCTTGAACAATCAGGACTCAATGGAATTTTATTAAAACAAATTTTAGGTGCTGTCGAACGAATGGAAAAAGTAATTTTAATCACTTGTCATTTTTGAAAACAAAAACAAAAAAGAGAATATTTTCTTTTAGAGTAAATTTGATGAAGAAATGGAAGCTGTAGCAACAACAGGCTTATATCCACCAATATCTAAAACACAAGCTGGATCTGAAATTGATGCTAAATATAGTTTAATGCAATTAGCAGCTCGTGCTGCTTCACCTCAAACAACAGGTGGACCTGTTAATCGTGCTAGTTATCCACAAATTGATCATCAACAACAAATTGTTTATCGTGGATTAAATAATGCAAGAAGTACACCATATGGACAAATAATGTCTTATGCTGGTGTTACAAGACCATTTGAATCTCCACAAGTGATTAAACGTGATGAATTAGGTAAGGATTTGTAATATTGTTCTAATAAAAATAAGAATTTAAGGTGATGATTTTCATGATTAATTTAAGCAAATGTGTTTTCATAGAGTTGCAGATTTCTTTATAAAACTTTCAATAAACAAAAAATAATCAAAATAAAAACAGATTATCAAAACATGAAGAGAAAGACTATAACTTGTACGATACTCAAGACTTATAATTAGATATGTCATGAAAAAGACATTATAAACATAGAATGACGATCGAATTGGCAGTTATTAAGAGAGCAGTCTCTAAATTGATTAATCACTCTTATTCTTCCGAGATGATACTTTTTTTTTAATAGAACGTTGTGATTTTCTCTCAGAAACACTAGGAAAAATGATTTTCGACTGTCAATCTATAACTACATAAAGAAGACGATTAGATTGGTTTATATAAAAAAAATTCAGAATTTTTTCAACTGAGTCTCTCTGAAATATGAAGCTTTCAAAAATCTACATGATGTATATACTGCCTATTAAAAGAGCCTATACCTTGAAAGTTCTATATCTTGAAGAGACTTACTTCAAAAATTCGAAAGCTTTTTACACAAACTACTCTAATTGACGTATTTTTTGCAGTTTGAAATTGAAGCTCGAACTTTTGGTTTTGCTGCAAATATCGGGTTCTACAACCTAAATTCACTAGCAGCGATGGATCTCCTAACAAACAAGTCATGGTCATGAATCCTTTCCATCGTAGACATGCTTCACTAAGGTCTAAAAAATGCATTAATTACCATCTTCGAAATGAGTGAACACCTTGGAATGTTTTCTTGTGAGACAAGTTTTTATAGGTATCGTTTATTATGTGACAGTGTTAGATCTTTTCGTAGTTTCTATATTGGAATATACAAAAACATCTGAAACATTCATAATAAACTATTCTCATAAAGATTGATCTCAGTTCAAAGCTTCGAATCAAAATTCAAAAATCATTTTTCCTATTGTTCCTGAGGGGCCTGCAGTACTCAATTAAAAAATATCTTGAATATGTATTATCTCAACAGCAACAAATTAAGGGCCCAAACTGCTTTCAGGATATTCATAGTGATTAGAATCTACATGATGCGCATAGTCTCAACTCAAAAGTGATTAACCACTTGAAGGACTTCTCTCAGCCCATTTTATTATGCAAGCTATCTCATTAGATACGTTCCAAGTTTCATACTTTGTTGTGTATGTGTAAAAGTCAACATAGAAAACAGAAAGCTGCTAGCACTATCCTTGAGGGATTGAAATGTGAAACACAATATAGCTGCTGTACTTAATAACAGGAATATATTCTATCTAATTTGAGACAAATTTGTTCACAATTCTTTTATTCAATCTTTCAAAAATGTAATAAGGAAGTAATTCGTTTATTATAATAAGACATTATTGATATATCCGTCTTTGATCAGTCATTATTCACGTGTTTGCCATGTTTGTTAGGGAATCTAAATTATCTATAACTGTCTTTTCTATATTCAGCTAATAATATATATATATATTTATAACGAAAACATTTGCTTTTGCAAACAAATATAGAACATATTTTGTTTTTTTTAGTTAATCCTGCATGGATATTTCAGGAATCATTACGTGATTCTGAAGTTGTAATGCTTGATCCACGTGAAATAAAATTTTTTCGAGAATTAATTGACCGTTATTTATATCCATTAGTTGAAGATAAAGATCATCAAAAAAAAATGGTTCAAGATCTTAAATCATTACGTAATAATGGTTGTTTTATATTTTTTATGATTAATACATTATGGCTTGTTATTATATTTTCATTTCAACTTGTTTCGGAACGTATACGTGATTATGTATTTATACCAATAAAACGTTTACATAATGAACCCTTACGTTTTGAACCACTTGGTTTTGGATTTTTAGTTTTTTTTGCAAGCATTTTACTTGTACAATTTGTTTCTATGTTATGGCATCGTTATGGAACATTATTACATTTATTAGCATCAACCGATTTAAAAGTTGGTCAACGAAGTCGTGGAAAAAGTGGTCGTGGTCATCGACGTGGAGATTTTACAACAGATAATGTTGAAGATGCTGTTGAACAAGTTAAAGTTTTACAACAATTAAAAGGTTTTGATGAAGAAGGTTTACCTGAACCTGATTATGATATTAATGATGATGATAAACAAGCAACTGAGCCTGATTTATCAACAACAGGACTTGTCTATCGTGCAAGTGGCCCAAGATATATAAAAAATTCTGCTTGCACATCACAACAATGGAGTGATATAGCTAAAGTAAATGATATGCAAAGAAATTTAGATACAACTGATCATAGTGAAATAAGTCAAATGTAAGAATATAAAATAAACGTATATTTTTGCTTTAATATATAAAATTAAATTTATTTCTAGGGCTGGTTATATATCAGGTTCAGTTAAAACATATGGAACGAGTTATGATGCAATAAAACGACGTCAAATATCTAATAAACGTCATTTATATAATAAATCACTTGATCATGTTTTTAAATCTCGTTATCAAGCCTTAACACAACAACAACAACAACATTCACATAAAAATCCACGAGTTAAATTAACTGATGTCTTTCAACAACAACAATTAGCTATACCAAAAAGTAGACGTACACCAAGTGCATTAACAGCACGTGATAGTGTTATTGGTACTAATAATCAACAATCAGCTATTTCAAAAAAATATCGAAGAAAATCTAAAGATCGGCATTTAGAACATTTGTAGTTTGTGTTTTTGTGTGTCAATATTGAATATGTATCTTTCGCTTTTCTTTTTCTTTCTCTTTTTTTTTGAATAATACACTTGTGAAACAGAGTAAAAGATAATATTCAAAATTAATCTTCTTGTACACATCACAATTTGTAATATAACATGTATAACTGATTTTCTGTTTGAGCCAAGAGGGAAACCGCACGGATGATACCCTCCATATCTTTCAGCAACTGAGTACCTTTCAATAATTTTGGGTGCTGTAGTTTCCCATTTGATCCTTGGACTTTTCTACTTTTCTGAAAAGATTATTATTTTTGAAAATTTGATGTGCCATTCAGATGTAGCATCATCAAAAATGGTCATAGACAGTAAAAAAATCGCTTTGAGCTGTGGTATAATCAGACGAAGAATGAATGACAACTCAATCCCATCCCTACTAACTGTTGATTTTCGATTAAAAATAGGGCTTGAGTGTCTTGTAGAAGTGTTGCCAGAGAATCTTCCTGTACCGACACGACCAGGAGACTGAACTTTCCTATTTCGACTGCTTTCTGTTCACGCCACTACTTAGTTTAATTGTATTTCATGTGAATTATTATCATCAATGTTGATATCTTTAGACTATGCTTATTATAAGAACATGGATAAGATTAAATAGGAATAGGTATTTAATAAATGTATGTATAAGTATTATATTTCATCTGATACATACTTTTATAGTAAAGATAGTTTTCAGAAGTCAATATTATCGATGAAACGATATGTACGATATGATGAACAATAGGAAGAAAAATAACAAGTACTAATATAATTTCATTACATCTTTCCTCTTAACTTATTATATTAGTTTACACATGTAGGAGAAATTTGAAGACAATATGAACTAATATAACCATTACACATGATAGGCAAACTGATCTTACTAGAACTTTATTGTTATGATATTAATTGAAGTATGATGAAATAGCATAGAAAGAAAAAGTATTTTTTCTCTATCATTCTATATAAAAAGAAAGCTTTTTTCAAGCTTATTATACGGTACTTAAATGTCACTGCCATTACTTTTGGATGTCCTTTAAATACAACAGAAAGTATACAGGAAATGTTAGTTTCTTCTCTATGTGAATATAGTGTCTTGTAAGATTTGTTTTAAACACTATGTAAGTAATCGAAAATCTGCTAGTTCCTTAGGATACGATTCCAGTAAATTAGAAACATAGAGCATAAGATTCTTCATATGTCGATGTATTTTTTTTCTTGTTGAGAGTAAAGAAAATTTTTCAGAATAAAATACTTCTAGAGTGTCTATCATTTGTGAGTATTTTGAATAAAAACTTTGAAAACAAATATTTTCTCTTGTATATCTAATGGGAAAATTCGAATGTAGAGTATTAGTTTCTCAATTATCAACATCCTAGTTTTCATATTAGATATACAAAAGAAAATATTTGTTTTCAAAGTTTTTATTCAAAATATTCACAAATAATAAACACTAACAGTATTTAATTCTGAAAAATTTTCTTTACTATCAACAAAAAAACACACTGACGTGTGCCGAATCGGGTGCTCTATCTTTTTAACCTATTGAAATTGTAACTTAGGTAATGGTTGATTTTCAATCTGACCCAGTGGTATCCTTAGGCATTTTAATGGTTTTCACTTTAAAACACGTTGGAATGTATGAAAAATATTCGAATTGTACGTTTTAATGCAGTTATTTGTTTAATGTATTTAAATTTCTGAGTTTTCACTCATTATAATGCTGTTCAAGGTAAAATTATATCAATTGTTCAAACACAAGAATTCAAATATTTGTTGAAAGTTAAAATGTGTTGCAAAAAAAGTGATTGTTGTAACGCGTTAATTCTTCATTTATGACTGCTCGAGTTTGCAGCAACGAAAACTTGTTGTACAGAAATTTTTTTCCACTTTGAAAACAAAAGCTGCATATGAGTAGGGTCAGCTAACGGTCACCCTCGCATTCGAAGATTCGAAATCAGAAAAGTGTCTCTGCAATCGAAAGTTCACTATTGACAGATTATCAAACATGTTACAAGCTCTGAGATACCTTCGTTATGAGTGATATAAGCCTCATTTTTCTTCCACTATATATATATATAAAGAAAATTTATTGACCAATTTTACCAAAAAAATATGATTTTGAACTTTGCTAAATTGCATTTTTGTCTGAAAGATGATCAGTAGTTTTAATATGCTTTCGTTGTAAGAATAAAGCTTAATTACTTGAACGATAAAACTATCTTTGTATTACTCGTGAATTAGGAAAAAGATATATTTTTATCATGGTAATTTGAAAATTTCAGATCCTTAAAACTTCGACTGTAAAACGTCCAAAAAAAGATGAAATTCCGTAACGAACAGTATTTTTAGTTTTTCTATTGTGTGCAGTCAGGATTATTAATGACCTAATATTCTGAACGCTTGTGGAGAACTGAACAACTTATGTGGAGAATGTTTATTTATATATCATTTCGTTTCATAGTACGATGCTAAACTCTCGACCTACCCTTAAAAAAGTTCCATTTTTTGAAATTCCGTAACGGTCAGTACTTTTTTAATGATTCAGCGCTGATGAAACAAAAATCAATGAAATTTCTATTGGTTGTAGATCTAAATGGTCTCTATCTATGATAAAAATTACAGAGAGTTCGCATTTATCATTAGTGAAATAGAGATGTTGCAATGTAAAAATATGAAATTCCATAACGTTTGGCTATGTCCACATATATAAGAAGTTATACTTTGTAAATTGTCGAGTTTTTCATGCTGCATCTTTTGATATCTTTCATTTTTTATTAATCCAACGCATTAAATAATTAACAATTCAAATATAAAATGCAACCATTTATTATACTTCATCTATTAGAATTAGATAGTTTATTGAGTACATATTCGTTAATAATAATTATAAACATGAGTTCGAGATTTACTTTTGTTATCTCAATTTCAAAAAAAAAAAACTTCATTCAACTATTGAACAACTATTTGAAAATCAAATGTATCTAATGAAATAAGAGGCAAAAAAAAAAGAAAAGAATATTCGTTCATTCATCACTATCTTCATGGTAGCGATTATCTTTAACATAAATTTTCATTCTTTATTTGAAACGTCAATATGAAGAAATCAAAAAACAAACAAAAATTCGTCCGTCGACGAGTTTGAAAAAAAGTATGGCGCTATATAAAAAGAAGTAGAAATAAACGTTTATATCATAAATGGCATTTTTTACATGTTTCGATGATCTACCCGATCTGGTATTGATCGAGCTCTTTTCATATTTATCATCTATTGATATTCTCTGGGGATTTACTTGTCTTAATCATCGTTTTAAAATGTTAATAACCGAACGAGGTTTCTTTTATCATATTAATCTATCACTTGCACGTTATCATCAGTTTAATAGAATTCTTCATTTTCTTCCATTAAACAATATTCAATCACTTGCAATTGATTGTGATGCATCTCCACGTCAATTAAATTGTTGGCCTTATTTACCTTGTTTAAGAACTTTTCTTATCATTGGTTTATACAATCATGATGATCTTTTAAGATTTCTTTTGCTTCATGCAGCTACACTCACTCATCTCATTATCCAATCAAGTGAAAGAATAGTACCGGTAAGCATTACCAGTTTGTCTTAATACATATAGAATTATACGAAAGGAGCGGAATCATTTGAGTAAGAATTGAAACCGTAATATAATTCTTCCTTAAAATTTGTTTATAGCATTCATTAAAATAATAGAAATTATTATCATTTTTTGAATATATCAAATCAATCAAAACTGGCATAGAATATGCTAAAGTTGAGATTTTTGTTAGAGAGATTATTCGTCAAGATCAAGAGATTTCATTTTGAATTCTACAATCAATCCAATTTGTGCTAGCCTTGATTCTTAGTTTAACACTATTTATTCAATGTCTTTTTTTTTAGGATGGTTACTCGGCCAAATTCGAATATCCTTTAGGCGACATGGTTACCCTAATAGATAATATTATTCTTTTTCATTTACCTGCACTTCGATCTCTCGATTTGGGCATGGATTATTACGGTACATGTTGGTCCATTACAACTGCAATAGTTCCTCTTACCTATCTTCGTCTTGCATTGCCATGTATGGACACTTTAGTACTTCTTATGTCAACACAACCATTACCCAATACATTACGTCAATTACACATAAAACTAAGTAGCGGTTGCAGTATCAGTCGTTCTTCTACGTCAACATCTAATCCTTTGATTCGAATGGTTAATTTACATACATTTACTGTTATTCAAACATTTTTCTCCAAGTTCACAATTGAATGGACAATATTCGAAAATCTAACATCTTCAAATGTTATGCCTATTCTTCAACATGCTAATATATCCCTTTTTATTAATATTAATGACTTAAATCGTATTAGTTCATCGTCACTTTTTACTGATCATCGTCATGTCGATGTTCATTTCACTTTTAATCTTATCAATTGTCCTCAATATATAAAGGTAACTCAATATATACCACGTGGTAATCGATTTCATCCACGAGAAATAATCGGTGTGACATTTGTTGTTAATCATTGGTCTAGCAGATCAGAATGGTTCACTGATAAGGATCCTTTTGTAAGTTATTGTTCAATTATATTTTTTTGTATTTGATTTCAATATTAGAGACAAACGAAAAGAAAAAAATCTTTATTCTTTACTTGATAATCTAACTCTGATTTAATAATATGTTAATACATTCTTTATATTTATAGAGTTCTGATCGACAATATTATCACCATATGTGGTATACTCTTCCATGGACATTTGATGAATTCTTTCACGAATATATTCCATACAGATGGATTACTAATATACAAGTTTTTGAAAAATCTTCTCAANTAAATCTTCGAGTTCTTGTTCAAGTCTTTCTAGTTCATTATTTAGTTGCTTGATTTGTTCATCCAATCGACGAATTTCTGCTTCGTGGTCTTTTGATGCTTGCTTAAGTTCTTCGATCCGTATTTCGACCGCTCGTAATTCATTCTTGGCGTCTTGTTTTTCTCTCTCCAAACGCTGCAACTCACTATTCACTTTCTGTATTTCAAGATCTGCTTCATCATTATTGTTGAAATTCGAAGCCATATTGAATAAAAAAAAGTTACGAAAAAGAAATCTAAAATAATTTGTAATATCATGTTGTATACATATAATATAATGCCGTAAGACCTATGAAGTTATCTATTATTGAGAATGTTATGTAGGAAAAGTCAGGTATACAAGAAATGGATTACAATATATTTTTTCTTTCTCTGTCAGAATGAAAGCAAGGGCAAAACTACGAAAGAAATGAGATGACTATTGTAAAGTCACCTTGCTTCAGTGGCGTAGCCAAGGGAGGGGCAAATGGGCAATTGCCCATTTTATTTAGAGATTTGCCTATTGTAATTTTTATGTGGAGATTCTTGCCCATTGAAATTTCTCTTTTTCAAAGTTGTTTGTTCATTTTTGAAATTAGATAATAACTCTACTATTTTTATTTCGTCGGAATCACACATGCACTCCTTGCTTGTTCTTTCTATAAAGAATTAAGAAAAGAAGAAGAAAATAATCGTTTTTGCTATTTTAACCAGGGTTGCCAGGTGAAAACTTAAAACTAGGAATTCTTGTTTTCAAAATCAGAAAAAAAATTAGAATTTTTCTCCGAAATCGGAAACTAATCAGAAAGAGTAACTTTTTTGCAAAAAAAGGGGTATCATGTTGACATGCTTGCACAAAATGCTTCACTTTTTTTGTTTACCGCCTCACACTTTATTTCCAAAAGTATTTCATAGAAAAAAAGAAAGACAATACAAACATTATATAGCCTAGAGTAAAAGATTGTGTACTGTTAGCTGAGGAGATTGATCATAGTCGGATCAAATGAATGCTCTCACTGTCAAATCAACTACTATCGGTTTCAAATTATAGTGCGCGTGGTTGTTTTTTGAATATTTTCAGAATGGAAACAGCTGGAGACCTGTGGTTTTCACCATTGAACACAGAAATGTTGGGGCCCAATTTCAATGCAAAAACTTGATTGGTTCATAATGGACCAATCAGATGAAATCCCAACGGACATTTTGTAAACAATATTTTGAACGCAGTTCTGATATTGTTATGGATTCTATCATGACCATTCGGTAGAAAAAAATGTTCTCTTTCGATCTAGTCAAGGCTCAACTTTCTATCTCATTTAGTTGAGGAGTTATAAGGGTTTTACTGAGACCCCGATTTCGGCCAATTCAAGCAGAATCGTTCGGAAAGCGACCTTGGAAGGGGTAATTCACCACGCTGAGTCGAGTGGCAGTTTTTATTTTTCCATCCAAAATACATTAACGCTATAATTTTAATATTCCTCAAATTAGGACTCCAGCCGCTAGATGACGCCAGAATGTGAAATTTCAGGAATATTAAAATTATAGCGTTAATGTATTTTGGATGGAAAAATAAAAACTGCCACTCGACTCAGCGTGGTAAATTACCCCTTCCAAGGTCGCTTTCCGAACGATTCTGCTTGAATTGGCCGAAATCGGGGGTCTCAGTAAAACCCTTATAACTCCTCAACTAAATGAGATAGAAAGTTGGGCCTTGACTAGATCGAAAGAGAACATTTTTATCTACCGAATGGTCATGACAGAATCCATAACAATATCAGAATTGCGTTCAAAATATTGTTTACAAAATGTCCGTTGGGATTTCATCTGATTGGTCCATTATGAACCAATCAAATTTTTGCATTGAAATCTGCCCCCAACATTTCTCTGTCCAATGTGAAAACCGCAGGTCTCCAGCTGTTTCCATTCTGGAATTATTCAAAAAACAACCACGCGCACTATAATTTGGAACCGATAGTAGTTTTACGTACTTAAAGTTTGAAGATTCAAGTCATTTTTTAAGAGCAACTCAATGTATTTTTACCTTTAGAGAATAGTAGTTGCATATATGCCTTATAGTGATTATGAACGTATTCTTAGTTGATGATTCAACTTGTTCATGTCAGAATATACTGCTAAAGTATCATTTTTCAATGCATTTTAAAATTATTGAAGGACAAAGAAATCTTTTTTAACACGATTAAAATCAGCTCATGATGGTTGTAAGTACAGTTCTCAGTTTATGTCAATCGTCAGGGAACTTTTTCTGATCACTAATTCAGAGACCGAATTAAACGGAGTAATTCTCTACAAGATGAGATATCTTCAAGATCTCTACAATGTGCTTTAGTTGATATACAACAACATTATGAAAGTTCTAAATTCATTGTTTTCCAATTTTCTATAGCAAAATCATATTTGAATCTTCAATCAAAGTGCTGTATCTCAGCCGAAGAACATCGCAGAGGACTTGCCGATGTCTCATTTTGTAGTAGAAAACAAAATTTTTATTTCCTTATATTATTGTTGACAATTTCTTCTATCGTTTACGACAAAGGAAAAGGTGTGCTGAATAATTTTCCTATTCACGATATAATTCATATAATAATCTGTAAATGAATCAATATCGAGCTCAATTTTATACAAAATGTATCATAATTGAATGAAATATATCGACATCTAGTGACAGCAAAGATCAACTGGTTATTTATACATAACCAACGATTCTACAGAATGATGAATGATATATATGTCAATGATGAATCAAGCATTTGACTCATTTTTCAAAAAAATTGAAAAAAAAATGGTTTCCAGTCCATATCGAAAAGTTTTATATGATGTATCTCCTCATGATTTTAAAATTCTTGATAATGATCATATCTATGAAATGAATAGTGAAATAAATCATTCAATATCTTCTTCATCATATCGTCATATTTACTGGTCAACAGTAGCTGAATCTGGTTTAATAACTCAACAAGTAAGCTTGTAAGTAATATATTTACAAAACTTATTTATTATTATTAAAATTTCTAGAGTAATATTATTTATAATACTTTTTATTCATTTGGATAATGATAATCTTCATCCGAGAAATATTTTAATTATAAATGCATTAATTGGTATCATTGGTTTATTTGTTTATCGAAGGCATATTAATATAAAATTATGTAAAATAAAAAAAATTTTAATGTTTTTTTTTTTGTATCGAAAAATTATTTTAATACTTTTTCTTTTGTAGTACAAGAAAATTTAAAAACTTTATTAATATTTCTTTTATTTGGTTCAATGGTATCACCTGTTGTTTTTACATTAACGAAGACAATAAGTACAGATACAATTTATGCAATGAGTACATTGATGATGTTAACTCATTTAATATTTTATGATTATGGAGCTGAAACAGCAATGTAAAAATGTTTAAAAAAGATTAATTTTCAATCTTTGTTCTCTTTTTTTCTTTCAAAATATCTAGGGTACAAAAAGCATTATCATTTAGTGTAGCATTATTTTCATCTGTTTGTCTTGCATCACGTTTATCAACATCATTTCATACATTTTGTTTAGTAACATCAGCTGTACTTGTTTTTGCCCTATGGCCAGAATTAAGAAAATATATTAAAGTAATTAAATAAAAGAATTAGTAAACAAAAAATTGCTGAATTTATTTTCTTTAGGAATCAAGTTTTCGTGTATTTTCACTATTAACAATTCTACATATCATTGGATGTACAATACTTTTATTTCGTCTTTCAATATTACATACTATATTATATATATTAGCTATTATTTTTTTGACATTTCTTTGTCCATTATGGCTTGTTTCATTACAAAAATATAAAATGTATGAATTGAATTGTTTTATTTAAAAGCAAAATTTTCGATGTTATTTGTTTAGATCGATACGTGGTGCGTGGGAAGAAGCTGTAGTTACAGAACATATAAATGATAAACGTGATTGATTTATTATGAATAAATAACGCATTCTTATTTTGTTTTATTTATAGTGAATATCTTATAACATAACTAGACGCGAGTTAGATGGATTTCAACTCTCCCAGACATGATTGAGTTTAACTTAAAAAGAGTGTTTGAGCCTTTCACATACTACTATTATCGGCGTCAAAATCATATAATGCATATCCATATTTTTTTAAACATCTCGAGAACGAAAGTAGCTAGAAATATGTGATTTTCACCAGAAGATAAAAAAAAATTATTCAAGTAACTATGATTTTCAATTTAGAGAATCGATAGCGACGACATTTCTCGGTCGTCTCTTCTAAATTATTCCATTCAGGAGTTATAAAAGTTTTACTGAAATCGTTTAACTAATCACTGATCACTCTAAATTGTATTGAGTTTGGTTTATTCGTATACGCTGAGTCCACTGGTGATATTTGTCTTTAGTTTTGAAAGAACAAGGTTTTGAGAATCTTCCATCTAACGTTAAAAACTTGTATAGATTGAATCGCAAAAATTATGATCATATTGAAATTAAAAACAAATACCAGCATTGTACTCAGCGTAGACGAATATCTCGAACTCAATACAGTTTACAGTGATCAATGATTAGATGATCCATTTCAAAGCTTTCTGTACAATACTTGTAACTCCTGAATGGAAAAATCTAGAATATATCCTTGCTATTGATTCTTTAAATTGAAACTCTTTGTTAATTGAGAAAGTTTCTTTGAAAACTTCTGGTGAAACTCTATAACAAGAACTTACCAGCTTGAGTTCAGATAATTCAGAAAAATTTTACTTCTAAATTTCTTCCTCGAATAGTGAAAACTGTAGGGCTCTCTAGCTATTTTTGTTGTCAAGATATTCAAGAAATATTGAAGTACATTAGATTTTGTATATATTAGTTATGAAAAGCTATGTCTTTTATGAGGTGTTTATTGTTTGATGATAAGAGAAAGTAATGTATATATGTCTTTTAATAATTATTTAAAATAAGAAGCAAGATGATTTCTTTTTGACTTATTCTTGTTTTGCATTATCAAATGAGTAGTTCTGTTTTCTTTGTTAAATAA